GCAAAATTTTCTGTGTTTCCCGAGTTTGCTATAATATCACCCTTTCTGTCTAAATCATGTGCCCGTTTTGACCTTATCTTGATATATGGAGTGAGATGTTGGTTTATGCCTAGTTTCTGCCAAACTGCTTTGCAGTTTTCTCAGCATTTTTTGTCATAGTGAGTTCCTGTCCCAAAGCTTTGATCTTTAGGTTATCAAGTACTATGTTTTAATGGTCATTTACTACTGTGTATTGTGTACCTAATCTATTCCACTAATCTACCACTCTATTTCTTAGCCACTACTACATAGTTTTGAGGATTACTGCTTTGTAATGCAGTTTGAGATGACATCTGTTTTTTCCCCACTTTTTCACTATCACAAAAAGTGCTGCTACAAATATTTTGGTGTATAGGGGACATTTCTCTTTTTGCCTTCCTTGGGACTACAGTGGGATGCTTTGGGTCAAGAAGTATGGACATTTTAGTCAAGGAAGTTGATAATTCGAAGGATGATAAAAATGAGTTGGAGAAGGAAATGACAAAGCATTCCGGTATCCTTGCCAAAAAAAACCCCAAATAGGGTCATGAAGAGTCAGACACGACTGAACAACAGTTTTAGAGCAAGATTTAAAGAAATCCTAATATGTAGCTACTTACTCATTAACTGTTTTAAATTACTTTTTAGTCTAATTCTGGCCTTTCTTAAGAAGGAGAATGAATGTGACCTTCTAACTTAGGTTTATCATTTTTTCTTAATAGCCCAGAGCTCTTTGGGGAGTGTACTTCATTTGACTTGGTTTCATAGCAACTTTGTACCAAAAGCCAGAGCAAGGGTTTTCATCTTTCATTTCTAGAATATACTTATAGCTGCTTGTGTGTAATCTCTCAGGGGATAGGCCTTTTCACTTTATCCTTGTGTTCTCATGACCCCCACAGAAAAAAAAAGAAATAAAAAAGGTTATGACTCATTCTTTTTAATGCCCCCATATGGCCTTATTTTCTAATCAGTGTTTCCCTAACAACCAGCCTTCTAAGTTACTCCAATGCCTTCTGTTCAGTAGCTAACTATTAGATTTACTGAGTAATACCTGATCTATCCAGTGAGTCTGTGTGGCAGCATGGTATGGTGGAAAGAGCCACTCGACTGAGAATCAAGAGACTTGGGTTTTTATTGGTTGAGTAGAAATAAGCTTAGCTTTTGTCATTGTCAGCTGCCGCTACTTTCGCAGCATGTACTTATGAATCCTTGTCTACTCATATCTATCAGAATATGTAAAACCCAGAAAGATGCAGCCAGCCTTAGTCCTTGGATCAAACAACATTTGTGTGGCCCTATTTATTTTTTCTAAACCTGGAGTTGCTGTCTGGAATCTACTTCCTGCCCATCCCCTCCTGTTTAGTCTGAACCTTTAGATGCCGATTCTAGCCTGTTTACTTGAAATTTGCTTCCTGCCTGTTTCCTTCTGACTGCAGAGTACTTTTAGACTGTACATTTGCCTTACTGTCAAGTATTTAAGGTACTAACATCCTTCCATAGACTACCCAGTCTAGCAGTTATCCTTTGCCTTTATAGCTGTAAATTAACAACCATAGAGGAAGGGGGAATATCACTTATAGAACATGACTTATTTTTCATGAGATTTTCCTTATTCTCTGGGCTCGCACCACAGACCTATTTATTGGTCTTGTTTCTTTAATGAAATTAAGACACAGGGTTGAAAAAACAAAACAAAACCATTATCAGCCATTGAGCAAAAATTAAAAAAAAACCTTAAAGCAAAAGTAATGTACAAAATCTTAAGAAAGTAAAATTATAGTGATATTAATATTCTTTCACATAACCTTGTCTGGGAAGCACTAATCTAGCATCTTTGCATATTAACGTTTGGAGTTTTGGCTTTTTATCTACCCTTCCATGAGTTCTGAGAGAGATCAAGTTTTCAGTCATCCATATTCACCTGTCTTTTGGGATGATGAATTAAGTTTATATGTTCAAGGCCTCCCCCCACTTTTTTCTTGCATGTTACGGATCTGGTGTTCTCCAAGATGTTTCAAGATGATGTTCACATGTCAGATGTGTTTGGATTTAATGGTGGTAAAAAATTAACATAGGCATATCCTATATGTGTGTGTATGTATATGTATGTATGTTTCCCATATTTATGAATACATATACATATATACATACACACATATATATAATGTTGCCCTAAACAAGAGTTATTTTTAATAGTGTCCTGAATATATTATCACCAAACCCTGCTATAACAATCAGTAGTCTCTCATGTTTCCATTCCTTTCAATAAGTTACTGTTATTCTTTACTTGTAGTTATAATCATAGGGTCAGAGTAGCATCAGGAAAAACTAGCTTGGGGAGCAGTATGTTAAGGGAAAGGTTTTGGTAATAGAGGCTGCACGTGAAGTACATTTAGCCACTTTAAAATATTATTTGTATTAATGGTGGAAAGAATATTAGACTAGCTGTTAAGGGACATAGATTTTAGTCCTTAGTCACTAACTAGTTGTAACTTTATTTTTATTTATAAATTTTGTTTTGAAAAAACAGTTTTTACAGCTCACCAAACGAATCTCCCCAAAGTATATTTCCTGAAAACATTTAAGCAAGATTGCCTCATCATATGATTGTGACTGATGGTATACATCATTTCCAGTTCTGTAGTTTACCATAACTAGACCCATAACTAGGTCAGAGTAACTGGAACTCAACCTCAAAGCATTAAAACTTGGAGGATATTACCAGTACTCTATTCTCCCTAAGCCAGTAGAAACAATTGAATTTAGCACCTAGTTAGCAAAAATAATTGATTAAAAGTGGAAGCTACCTGTGAGTGTCTTCCCATTGTTGATTATTTCCACTTTATCACAAGTATATCTTGTTTGTACATAGTGGTTTGTATGCTGTCTCCATTATATTGAGCTTCTTGAGAGCAGGGACTGTCTTTTGCCCCTTTTTATATCCCCAGCACCTACCACAGTGCTTGACCCATAGTAGACACTTAAATGCTTGTTGACCTGACTCATCTATGTAATGAGAGAATGAATATAAAAGCATTTTGTTCTTTTGATTTAGTACTTATAATCAATTCTCAGTGGTTAGTTTATTAATTTAATCAGCAAAATATTTGATTAATGGATCAATGTCAGCAGGAAGAAAGTTTCAAGTAGATTGCCAAGGAGTTTTACTCTTGGTCCTTTAGCATTTTGTATTTTTGTCGATTTCTACAGATTTGAAAGTGTCCCTTCTGTATCTACATGCAGATCATTAAACAGGACAGAAACAGAACTGTGTTGCCACTTAGGAGTCAGATCTCTAGTGGAGGGCTAGCAGGCAAATATTGATTGGGTTTAGGTGCCAGTTTTCATCTAACCCATTTAGTATTGTGGCATAGTGTGGAAGATCTATGTTCAAGTTTTACTTATGATGCATTCTACCTGTGGGACCCTGGGCAAGTCACTTAACTTTTCAGTGTTCCACGCCTATCTCTAAGATTACACATTGCAAGGTATTGTCAACCAGCATTGGTAGAGGGAGTTTCCTTACCAGTGAAATCACATGTTCAGTGCCAACATTGTCTCACTATTTTATCCATAAGGATACCATGAGTGATTTTGCTTCTCATTTAATTTGCTGACAGATACATGATTTGTTGTTGCTGCTACTGCTGCATTCCTTTGATTGACCACTCTTAAACCGTATTCAGGCTAGTTTGCAGTTACTTGTTATTAATAAATCATAATAGTAATTGCTATATTTTAAAAAACAGTCAACAGACCATATGCTTGATAACTTATTCCAGAATGACTGATAGTTGGGCTTGACACTGTTTTGCATTTAATTCCTTCTCTGATACTTTATCTTGATGTGGAAGTATCTCTGTGTTTTCAGAAGCCTATGTCAGCAGAGCATATGCTCTGACTGATTGTGTCAGGCTGGAAAGGCTCTATAACAGCCCAGTGGCAGACTGTGTCTGTTGTCTGAGAATGATTTAAATGTGGAGAGACACAGCACCAGAAGATTGGTCACTAGCTTTGATGATTAAAAAAAAAATTGGTCATGATAACTCAACTCATGACATTAAAGCTTACCTGTTTCAGGGTATGCCCTACCCCAGTTTTTAAAATCCAGGGACATATTGCTATATCTAATCTTCTGGTATATCACTTTTCCATAATTTCTAAAAGATCAAGGATATTAGAGCTATCTTCATCTTTGTGCAGCATTAATTAGCCTGTAGAGCTGTATATTTACGGTGAAATGTGCTCCCCTCCTAACTTAGGCGACATTTCTCTCTGTGTTTAATTGTACTTTGTTTAACTGTACTGCCATTATGTTTAACTGTACTTTATGTTTAACTGTACAACCATTTCTAATATCAATACAGTTCTTCTTATAGGACCAGACAGGAATTAACTTGAGTACCTCAAAGGTATATACAATGATGTTTTTGAAAATCAATTTTGAGGTTTAGGATAGTGGTACATATTGTGGCATTCTTGCATGCTGCAGGATAATAATTTTCATACCACTCAGGAAATTTAGCATTTTGGGGGTACCATATTCTCATATATATTTTACTAAATGATATCTAATGCAAAATGTATTAATGGAGTTATGATACTTTTCACAAAAGACTCTCCACCCAATATTTACAAATATGTATCTTCAGACTTAACTAGATGAAAGAAAAGGGAGGTCTGACATTATAGAAAGGGGATCTTATTCTTTTATTTATATTTTATGAAAGAGAAATAACTGAATCGACTTCTAATGTAGACAGCTGAAAAATAGGGCTGGATATTTTAAGTTACTGACTTACTGAAAATTTCAGGGACTTAGCATATTTTAAAATATAGTGTTTATAACACTAAATTCAAATAAATTACCTGAAAAATCCAGACATTTGGTAAAGTGCTTAGCAATAGCGTAGGAATAGACTATTAAATGAGAAATAATGATAGATGGAAATAATTTAAATTTTTCTTTTAAATATATTCAGGTCTGTATATGACGACCAACCAAATGCACACCAGAAATTCATGGAAAAATTAGATGCTTGTATCCGCAATCATGATAAAGAAATTGAAAAGATGTGTAATTTTCATCATCAGGGTTTTGTAGATGCTATTACAGAACTCCTTAAAGTAAGAACTGATGCAGAAAAACTCAAGGTAAGAGCCCTGTTAGAATTATATTTATCTTTGTCCTCACTAAGTTATTAGAATATTAATTTAATTCATGTTGCATATATACACATCAGTACTGAATAAGATCCTGTCATAGAAGTGAGTTAGTATATATTTTTGGGGGATATTCTTTCTGCTCTATTAACACAGTTGTCATGCTAATGACTGGGCTAATCCCTCCATTTCTTCTCCTCCCCCCCTTTTTTGGGGGGGGAAAGCTAGTAATACATTGACCTAATAGGCTTTCTTTCCTTGAAGGAGCTCATGGGAGCTTTTAAAAATTTCATGTATTTGAAAACTCATTTTATAGTTTGACTTAAAAAAATTCCTAAAGTTGAGGAGAGATTTTAAAAAGCTGTTTTTTAAAACTTCAAAAATATTTAATTAGAATAATTTAAGCATAAAATCCTCTTTATGATTTGAAAATGAGACCTTTTTTCAATACAGATTCATGTTTTCCTTTAGGTTTTTTCAATTCCTGCTATATGTTCCCCAGATTATTAAAAAATAGATTTTTTTCAGTCAGGATATAAATACAACGAATACTCTTTTAAAGCATCCTTTACACTTGAGAGCATGGCAGATGGAATAACCCTAGTTTACCAAGGGTTATGATTAAAAAACTATTTTAAAAAGGATATTCAGATAATAAGAGACCAAATAAAACATCATTGAGGCCATTGAGCATTTTTGTTTAGAAATTAATGTGATTTTTAATAAACCATAATATGCTTCCTTACTATGATGACCTAATGAGTCACTTAATATGTGGGAAAATCTGAGGTTGGGCTTTGCCTGCACCTGCAGTATTAAAATGTTACTATGGTTTGGAGATTTGTACATTTAATGTTAATCAACCACCCAGTGTTTGCATTCAGCAAAGTATGAATGTTTAATTACCATAAAATGCAATCACCATTTCCTACAGACAATGAATGGCACATAGAGCTCATTGAAGTTATCAAAAAGGGACCAGTGGTCAATTGGGTCACTGATTTGAATTGTTTGACAGACTTAGAGAAACAAGTAAAGCTCAAAAATCCTGAGTAAATTTGAGAAGTTTGCCACAGAATCTGTTAAAAAGAACTGTCATAAGTAATTGAAGTTAACAAAAGCCCTTTGCAATAAAAAGTTCAAGTTCAAGCTGTAGAGTTAATTTGAATTCTTTTGTTCTGAGTTTGTCAAGAAGCATGATCTGATTACAAGGGTGAGCAGTTGCATCCGGGCAATATGTGCATACTTTTCTAATGAAGGTGAAATTATTTTTAAGGTCCAAGTTACTGATACCAACAGCAAGCTTCAAGATGCTGGAAAAGAGGTGAGTTTTTGGTGACTTCTTTATGTCTAGTGAATAGATGGAGCTTATTTAAATTGTCATTTTAAAATGTGAACTTTTTCATATCCAAGGTGATAGCTCAAACAGAAGACATCATTCGATGTAGAATTCAGCAGAGGAATATTACAACTGTAGTAGAAAAATTGCAGTGTTGTCTTCCAGGTGAGTAAAATTATCTTTATTATGATGTTTGTCTTGATAACATAGTAATTAAACACTAAAATCTAGTCATTCATCTCTATAATCTAAATTACAGATTATCTGGCAGTTATTCCAACACAACCCCATAACTATCCCTGTATTAGCTTTATTCATCTTGATTTTTCATTGTTTTCTTGACTGTTTTACAAAGCCTTTGATTATCTATTTCATTAATATCTCAGATAACAATTGTTCCTTAGGGTAGCCTTTCTCTCTAGTTTCCAAGGGAAGGAGAGAAATACACATTTATGAATTTCTTTTCCTAAGCTTTTGCCTTCCCATCAATGCAAGAAAGAAAAGGTGAAGAAGCATCAAAAAATGCTGCAGTTCTGTTTTGCTCCTCCTTCACTCTGAAATCCTTTGAGAAAATTCTATGGAACCATGAGTTCTTTAATTTCCTAGTTTGGAGCCTCAGGTACTGCTTTGTAAAGAAGTAAGGCCCAAGGAGGATTAATCTCATTTAAAATTTATTACCTGATTCAATGCTTCCTTCTATTCATTGGTAAAATCATAGGTTGACTATAATTCAAATCAAGAAAGAGAATTAACAGCTGTTGTATGCAGAAAGAGCTCCACATTTGGATTCCAGTGACCTGTGTTTAAATATTCTAGCCCTACCACTATATGATAGTGGGCAAGTCTAAACCCCTTTGAGCTTCATTTCATTTAAGTATAATGAGAAAAATGTCTGTCCTGTCTAACCTACGTAGTTAGTATGAGGATCAAATGAAATGATTTGTGAAAAACACTCTGTAAATCATAACCTGTTATATAAATATTATATTTTTAGAGATATTAGATCAAAAATTTCTTCAGTGCTCAAGTGACATTAATATGTGCCCAAAGGGGACATTGAATCTTTTAGACCACTAAATCTTGACTGTGATCTGAGAATACTGCCAAGAAAGCAATAAGTTCCATTTATAGAGTATATTTCAGTGGCCTGAAAATCTTGCTTTGCCTTTCTAATGTATACCAAAGAGTAACGTGGGCACTTGGGGCAGGGTTTAAGAACCAAATAGCCAGATGGATCCGTGATCTCATTTAAGTGAATATTCTTTTCAACAGGGCACATTATGACTAGCCACATAGATTACAAATCCATACTGTGAACTCTTGTTCATAGTCCCTGTCCCATGGTCTAATGTACTTTCTTAAATGGAGGCCTTATTAAAAATGGTTAGTTATCTAAAACAGAAGAGAAAATTTATTACCAGGTTTCAAAAAAAAGTTACTTCTTTCTTCCAAATGATAAGAGGAGTTTCTAGATCTTTCTGACCTATTCTCAGATTCTTTTTAATTTAGGCTATGTTGCTTTGGAAGATTAACTTTTTGGCTATGAGAATATGGTTTCTGGTTTCAGATTAGATTTTTGGGATTTAAAAAAAAAACTGCCAAAATGATCTGTTTGGTCATAATGCCATATTTTGAAAATATATCCTGACATCATCAGATAAATTGAAAGAGTCATACTAGCAGGCTTTTTTTTTTAAAGCCCAGATGCCTGGTTGTGTGGTTGGTGATAATGATAATAATAATATCTAGCATTTATATGTCACTTTAAAGTTTGTGAAGTGCTTTACAAATTTGATCTCATTTTATCCTAACAACAGCTCTAAGAGGTAGGTGCTATTATTATCCCCATTTTACAGATGAGGAAACTGATGCTGACAAAGGTTAAATGATTTGCCCAAAGTCACATAGCTTTCTGTCTGAGACTGAATTTGAACTCACGTCTTCATGACTACAGTTCTAGCTCCTTATCCACTGTGCAATCTTGCTGCCTCTAGGCATAAGCCTGAGAAGTTGGATAATGAAGAAATTGTTTTTTAGACTTATTCTAGTCCTAAAGTGGCCTACAGGTGGGAGAGGTCGGAGAAGGAAAACAAAACTGCTAATACTGCTATTACCACTCTCAGGCTAAGGAACAACTTTTTGAGTCTTAATGAGCAGGGTGCCCCTGTAGCCTACCATAGCCACTAAGCTGTAGCCATAAAGAGGGAATCAGCTTTACTCAATGTGATTCCTATATCACTTTTTAGTATTGAAGCCACGAAGCAAGATTTCTCCTAGACATAGGACTAGCAAACCTGTTGGTTTTGCAGACGCTATTTACTTGGTCCATAAGAGTTCCTGCTGCTTGGTAATCACTTAATCAGTTACTTGGGATATCTTGGAATTCTAATATGGCATTTGGATGAAAAGTTATGACGTCCTTTTACTGAACCCTGTGAAAATTATAGCAGATAATTATCAACCCTATGTCTTTAAGGATGGAAAAGGACAAACTTCTTCCCTTTTAAATTAGCCTTTTAGCATAATTCATGTATTCTGCTGTAAATGTCATAAATTTTCCTATTTTTTATGGATTTTGGAATAAAACTTTCATTATACTTAGTAGAACTTTATGATTTGATTTTTAAAAACTTGTTAGTTTATGTGATTATATTTGTGTGTTGATCCATAGTAGGGATATAATAATATGATATTATAATCAATGAATAATAATAACATCAATAAGTAATATCGGTGATCAATTATAATAAATATATTACCGCATCATATAATTATATTATGTACAAAATAATATTAAAATTAATAGTGAATTAATGAATAAGGGTTATGTTTACACTTTTATTGTAAAGAATTTTTTTCTTAGTTTAAGAAGGTTATTATGCTTTGGTTATAGTTGTTAGAACTTAGAAATTATTTCGGTCTCTATTGTGAAATATAGGTATATTGAAATTCAAACACCAATTTTGTTTATATAGAATCTTAAAATTTTACTTTAAAAAGGGTAAGATTAAACAATAGTTGAAATAAGACAGGAAATTAGTTAGTATTTTAGGTGTTCTTTTTGGACCCTGTCTTAATATTGTAGTTTTAATCTTATAAAGTATTATTTTTAAACCAAAATGTGTTACGGTAATTTAATTTTATTTTAATACAGTCTTGGAGATGTACAGTAAACTAAAAGAACAGATGAATGCAAAAAGGTGAGTGGAGCTTTATAATTATTTTTAAATTAATATACTAACTTGGTTTAGTTTTTTTTGCAACTAAAGGATTGAAGAAAAATAACATTAGTGCATAATGTATGGAATTCTCTTTCTGCTTTTTATCATTATTTCTTTTATTTATGTGTGCTAATCATCATTCCAAAAAAAAAACCCCGGCAACCTTGTTGTATTTTGACCTGTGCTGAGGCACAGTAGAAATCAATTTACATAGATCTAACTCCTTACTTTTGTGAGTTTATAATCTGAGACCTAATACTATTCATTAAATTAATGCATGTACAACTGAACAAGAATGAAAAATGATACAGATTAGGCCAGTTAATAATGTCTTTCACTAAACTGTGTTGTAACTTTAGTCCTTATTGTGATGTGGAGGTGACCATAGTACTTGAAGGTTATGCCAGCAAAACACAAGCTCACATAGGTCTTAGTAAACTATAAAATTTGAATATGGAGCAAGCAAGAGAGTGTAAATTCTTGTAAGTTTGGAGAGATTTGTCACCAGAAGGATGGCCGCTAGGTGATGAATTTTTTAGCCAAGGCATCTAATGGTCAGAAACTTGTAGAGCTTAGATGAGAAAGGTGGTGGTCAGATTTGCCCTGGATCAGACTACCTACAGAGCACTAAAAACCTGCAGATCCCCAGCCTGAGCATCCCTGAGATCTTGGAATAACACAATGCCTAATACTCAGAAAGCAACAGCAGGATTAGCTCACAAATTCCCAACAGAAGTGTGCTGAACCTGGCCCTAATATAAAGTTTGAAAGTAGACTGGAAGAATAAGCAAACAAAAAAAGAAGCACACCAAAGAAAAACTATTAAGGATTCTCAAGACACGAATCAAGAAGAGAATGACTCCAAAATATCTGTAGGCAAAGCCTCAAAAGGAAAAAAAAATTCGGGCACAAGTTTAACTAGAATTCCTGGAAGAGATGCTGCAATAATTTTTTAAAAATGTTTTTATAAATGATATGAAAGTGTTAGAGAGAAACATTAGAAAAGAAATTAGTGTTATGGAAGAATTGGAAAGGGAATTAGCAGCTTGGCACAAGAAGTACAAAATAAGCAGCAAATTTCCTGAAAATTAGAATAAACTAATTAGAAGCTAATGATTTCCTAAGACAACAGAAATATTAAAACAAAGTCAAAAGCCTGAAAAAGTAGAAGAAAATATAAACTGTCAGCTGTAAAACTACTGACCTGGAAAACAGGTAGAAGACATAATTTAAGAATCATTTGTATTACCTGAAAGCCAACCAAAAAAAGATCTTATGCATCGTATTGGATGATTTCTTTCTTTCTTTCTTTCTTTTTTTTTTTTAGTAATTTTTTTATTTTAAACTTAAATACAAAATGAGAGAAGAAAAAAAAAACATTGCCATTGATGCAGCAGATCATAAGAGAGGATTCAATATAAAAAATTTATTTCCATTTTAAGAAAACCTATGTAAACTAGACATTCTTTTTAAAGCTGCCTAGCTTTTCTTTGCTTCTTTGTTGGTTTTCTTTTGTTCTCTGCCGTGTACTTTTTATTTTATTTTTTTCCCCTCCCTTCTCCCACCACCCTTAAGAAAGCTACAATTAAGCGTGGATGTATATACATAATAGATGTCTATAAATATAGACATATATACACATATACACTCATACACATAAATGTAAGACTGTACTATGCTTATTTCCTCCTGTTATCTGTTTTTCTGAAGGTGGATAGCATCTTCCTTCATAAATCCAAGTCTTTTCACTTTTTTCTAAAGCAACCAACTCATCATTTCCTACACCACAGCCCAATCACATCCTCTCCAAGAGATTGTGAAAGTTTTTTTCTCCCGACTTTTTGCATTCCTTCTATTCTTGACTACATTTATTTATACAAGAAAATTTTAATTTAAAGTAATTGAAATTATCCTTTTTATACTTCATTAATGCTCTCACCTTATAATATAGTTTAAGGTCTGATACTGCTGAATCTACTGCTTTTACATCTTTTCCCACCCATTTCTTTGAAGTTCCTGACCTTTTGTTCTTCCAAATGAACTTTATTATTATTTTTTCTAACTCAGTAAAATAATTTTTTAGTAATTTAATTGGGATGACACTGAATAAATAGATCAGGTAAAATTGTCATTTTAAAAATTATATTGGCTTTGCCTACCCATGAACAATAAATATTGCTTCAGCTATTTAGATATGAGTTTATTTGTATAAAAAATGTTTTATGTTTATGTTTATACAGTTCCTGTGTCTGTATACACTCAGGTCTTTTATACTACCTAGGTATTTTAAATGGTGTAAAACAATATTGAATAATATTGCTGACACATAGTGTAGTTTCTCTATTTTTCACTTTTGATTCAATCTATTTTAACTTTAACTTTGTCTGAGATCATTATTAATATCCCTGCTTTTTTTACATACTCCTACCCTTTGTTTTATCTTTATGTATATCTCATGTTTATAATGTTTCCTGAAAGCAACATATTGTTGAATTCAAATTTTTTTTGTTTAATATCTTTCCCCAAGTACATATAAAAACAGTTTTAACATTTTTTTTCAAGTTTGAATTCCAAATTCTCCCTCTTCCTCCCCTACCACTCCCCCCTCCCCTACCACTCCCCCCTCCCCCAATTGAGAAGGCAAGTAATTTGATATAGGTTATACGTGTGTAGTCATGCAAAACACATTTCCATGTAAGTTATACTGTGAAAGAAAACACAGAAAAAAACCCCAAAGAAAAATAAAGAAAAAGTATCTTTGATCTGCATTCAGGCTATACCAGTTTTTTCTCTGGAGATGGACAACACCTTTCATCAGAAGTCCTACAAGAACTGATTTGGATCATTGTATTGCTGAGAATAGCTAAGTTATTGAATTCAAATTTTTAATCTGTTATCCATTTCAGTTTTATGGGGAAATTCGTCCCATTCACATTCTAAGCTATAATTACTTGTGGTGTATTTTCCTACTTCCTATTTTTCCTTACTATCCTTCTTACCCTATTTACCCTATCCCTCTTCACTCCTGTGCTTTATTTCTATATTTCTATATTGCCCTCCTATTCCTTAACCTACCCACTCCTGTAAGAGTCCCTCCTTTATCCTCTTTCCCCCACCCTATCCCCTTACTGTGTTATTTTTTTCTGAATTTAGAATGTTGTTCCTACTTTAGCCTTCTTTAGCATCGGGAATCGATGAGAGTAAGGTTCCAGCACTACCTGCCCTCCTCCCTTACCAGTTTCTATATCAGTTTTTCCTTTTGTGCCTCATTTGTATGAGATAATTCCTCCTTTTTTTTTTCTCTACACAGTTTTCCTTTTTTAGAATCACCCCATTATACTCAGCTTAGCCCACACCTTTTTTTCAAACTACCAAATAATGGTGACAGTCATAAAGAGTACTGCTAATATTTTCACATGTACGAAATAAACAATTGAGTTCCTTATAATTGGTCTTTAATGTTTACCTTATATTTCTTTTGGATGTTATATGTTGAATTTTCCCTTAAGTTCTGGGGTTTTTGTCACAAAAACCTTGAAAGTCTTTTGAGTTCGTTAAATGTCAATTTTTTTTTCCATTCAAGATTATACTTTGCTGGATACATTACCCTTGATCATAATCCCAGCTATTTTACTATATGGAATATAGTATTCCAAGACTTACAGTCCTTCAACATAATGACCGCTAGGTCTTGTGTAATCCTTAGTGTAATCACATGATATTTAAATTTTTTTTTCTTGTTGCTTCCAATATTTTCTCCTTAACCTGGGAGCTTTGAAACTTGGCTATAATACTCCTATAAGTTTTCTTCCTGGGATCTCTTTCAGGTGGTGATCAGTAGATTTTTTTCTATTTCTACTGTGCCTTCTTGTTCTAGAATTTGAGGACAATTTTCCTTGATAATTTCTTGTAATATTGTATCAAGATTCTTTTTAATAATCGTAATTTTTAAGGTAGTGCAACTATTCTTATATTATTTCTCCTCACTCTGTTCTCCAGATAAGTTATTTTTCTGATGAGATGTTTCACTTTCTCTTCTATTTTTTCATTCTTTTGATTTTGTTTTATGATTTCTTAGTGTCTTAGAACATCATTAGCTTTCCCTTGCCCAATTCTAGTTTTCAAGGAATTGTTTTCTTCCTTAAGTTTTTAATTCTCTACTTCTAGTTGGTTGACTTTCTTTTCATAATTTTCTTGATTTTCTTGGATTACTCTTATTTGAAAAAATTTTTTTCCTCTATCTCTCTTATTTGATTTTTAAAGTCCTTTTTAAGTTCTTCCAAGAATTCTTTTTGTGTTTGGAACCATTTGACGTTTTTTATTGAAAAAAGGAGTGGCTTTTTTAGCTGCATTATCTTCCTCTGAATATGAACCTAGATCTTCTCTATCCCCATAGTAACTATCTCTGGTTGGGTTTTTTCTCCTTTGCTTACTCATCTTTCTTTCTTTCTTTCTTTCTTTCTTTCTTTCTTTCTTTCTTTCTTTCTTTCTTTCTTTCTTTCTTTCTTTCTTTCTTTCTTTCTTTCTTTCTTTCCTCATTGTTTTGGTTTGGTTTGGTTTTAGCAGCTATTAGTATAATCAAGTTGTAGTCCTGAGGTATGGGGAATGATGCCCCAAGCCTCAGGTCCTTCTTACTGTTATCTTCTGAAGTCTGTCTTGGGGCCCAATCTTGGGCTCTCTTCTCTACTCCTAAGCTGCAGCTAGGGCTCCCAGGCACACTGTCCTACAAATGATCTCTCCCAATTTAATAGTATTTTATTGGAAATACTATAAATAAATTCTATTTACATGGAAAGATAGTTTTCAACATTCACTTTTATAAGATTTTGAGTTCCAAATTTTCTCCTCCTCCATCTCCTTCCCCCTCCCCAAGACAGTGTGCAGTCTGATATAGGTTCTACATATACATTCATATTAAACATATTTTCACATTAGTCATGTTGTAAAGAAGAATTAGAAACAATAGGCGGAACCATGAG